GCGAATGTTTTAATTTCCGCTAATACTTGTTGACAGTCATACTAATAGATCAAAGATGGAGTAATATTGTAAATCTGTACATTGCTACTTTACATCTCAGTGTATAAAATACCCTCTCTCTTTGAATTTGCTGTAATTTATACTTCTGGTCTCCTAAAACTGCAGGGAAACTTCTAGATATAGCTTTAAATGGATTGAGAATTTGCTACAGGTAATGTATCAACTGCACACACTATTGTTGTAAAAGAAGGTAATGACTGTCTATTCAGATATGAATCTTTCTTCTTTCTTCTCTTGTTATAGCTATACTATATCCATCCAGATTGACAGCTAGTATAAAAAGTGTAGGTAATTTATTAAATTTAAGATGCTTTTACTAGACAGTGTAGGACTTGTAGTTCATTACTATTCTCTGAAAGAGAAAATATAAGCAGGTGGAAAAGAAAAAAGGTACTACAGGTAAGAAGTACTTTGGACTATGTAATTAAAATAAATTTGAGTTTTCTGTTGTGTATTTTTCCAGGTAATCTGCTTTCTTTACCTAAAAATTATACCACCCTTTAACGTTGAATCAGAGTCTTTGGATACATTTTTTTCTAGTCTTATGTTTTCCCTTATGAAAGGATGAAAGAATATTTTAAATCTTGTGCAAATCACTATTGTCAAGATTAGAAGTAATCTGTGCACACGACAGAGCAGGAAACAGCTTGCCTTCCTCCTTTTAGGACATTTAAAGTATGTTCTTAATTATATATTAATAAATACTTTATGGTCTATAACATTAAATGTGTTTTATAAAAATATTTGTATATATATGTAATTGTGCTTATAATATAGATGATGATTCACAACTTCGTGCTTCATAGCTTCTGTTGCAGAGGACACATGAAAATCTTCTTAAGTTTGGTTATCAGCACAGACACTCTGCCTGTTGAATATGTGATGTGTTCTGTGAGCTCCCATTTCCTGCACTTGTACAATATTTTATTACTTAAATGTGTTCAGTGAACAGAGGGAAATCAGGGGGTAAATATTAGACTGTATACTCTCTAGAGAAAAAGAGGCCATTACCTGATTATGGTAAATACAGACTTGTATTTGAGAGACCATAAGCATTTAAGAACAGTGAGTATCCTCTAGAACGCGTGGTAATTATTTAATGTTCAGTACCTTCTGCCATAGTACCCTCATACTACTAGGTTTTGGATTCTGGTAACTTAATTGTGCTTTCTTGTTATGAATCTACTTATGGTTACTCAAATTAACCTTTAATAGACAAATTTATCATAATATGTCAAGATAATAGATATAAAATTTCATGCAACTTCTTCTGTTTCTGTTTAACAAAGATTTAACGACTTTATTGCAAGTCAGTCAGTGATCTGATGGCTCAGATTTCATCAGACAGATCTCTTGTTTAATAAACCAACTTTTTTTTTTTAAGTGAAAACTTGAATTTATTGCAGTGTTGACTAGCTTTTTGGCAGTTTTTGTTGATGCACAGGAAAGGAAATATCTTCTTAGTTTGAATTTTATTAACTTTGTTTTATCACTTCTGTTGTTCAAATATGAAAAAAGAGTAGGAATTGGAATATCAGGAGAACTACTTCCTTTTCTTATTGCTTCAGAATAAAAATAAGCTAGGTATATTTTAAATCTTAAATCTAGTATCTTTAATGTTAATGACAGTTTTGAAAAACTTCAATGTTGTAGTAAGGCAGCCAAACAGAACTTAGTATAAGTGAGTGAAGGAATAATTTACTAAATATGAAGTTTATTTCATTTAATAGAACATAGGATTCTGAGAATTTTAGGACTACATACATAAGTGTATTTAGATAGTGTGTCATCAAAATTTACCAATTCGTTAACCATGCTTGAGAAAATAAATATTACAGGTGCAAAACAAGATTAGTGTTGATATAAAATCAGGGTTTTCTGCTGGTGAGATACATCATTAAAGTTGATAATTTTGGACAACCGGCCTTGATTCTCTATAGCAGATGTACAATTTGATTTGTATTTTCTTCATCAAATCCTGCCTGCAAACAAACAAGCAATTGTAACTTAGGTATCATGATGATTTAATGTCCCTAGCTAGTCTGTTGGGACTATTGTCTGCAGCTTGCGTTATCACATGGCTCATCAATTTTGTGTAGTCTAAATACTATTTCATGGCATGTTCACCCTCAGTCTAAAGAGGCAAAGTTAAGACGTGTTAACAGAATGTGGATCATGTCTGTTAATGTCACAGTGCTGGAGTACTTTTAGTGATATTGATGCCACAGTGAAAGTAGTTCTCAAAATACATATTTCATTACAAAACCAGGGGTGATTCTGTATAGCTACAGAAAGCAAATCTAATAAAGGAGAAAGTGCTGTCATTATGTGTTCGTCATTTAGTGCAGAATTGCACTTGAAACAACTTGACTATTACTTTCTCAAGCTGATATATTAGAAGTTTTAAAACCTTCCAATACATTTATTTGTTAAATATGAAAGTGAAGCTCTCTGTGGAATGGCAGGCTATTTAAAGTTACTGAATAACATCTGAAGAAATATTATGAAAAACAGTTAATGAACATAGTATTACATGAAAAAAGGGGAGAAGGCCAAAGCTTGTTTAGTAGATCTTTTTGCCTTGATTAGAAGACTATGTTTCCATGTTTTCCATGACTTCTCTGTGCAAAAGTTGGAGTTATGAAGCTGTTAAGGGTCAGAAGGTGAAGGAAAACCAAGGAAAGTTGAGGATAAGAACTTTTTAGTGCTCTCAGGAAGAAAAAGCGCTGGACTGCCAAATATATCTGTCAGCTACTAAAAAGAGTACATGTGATAACTTTTAGGTCCGGAAATTGTTGTTTCCTGGCATGACTGTTAAACTCTGTAAAACTCCTGATTTTTTTTCTACCTGATTCACCTTTCAGTTTGCTTTATAGTTTTTATGAATGTCTGTAACAGGATTTTCACAGAATATTTTCTTGCAAGGTCTGCTAAAATAAGACTAATTTTCTTCGAGCTTTTGAGACCTTTGTGTCAATATTTTGCCTCTTTCCATATAGATGCAAATGACAGGCTGGAGACTACAAAAGTATTATAACTTGCAAAAACATAAGTTGCATTTCATATTAGCAAAGGATTTAGCAGATAAGAATGTTTGTTTACTGAGCAAGTGATTTTATGCATCTATGAATTTGTAAAAAAATTTAAGCGTTGTAATGAAAGCAGTTCAGAATCCAACAACGTGGTGTCTATGAGTAGCTTTCCACTAAAGATGTCTGGAAGAAGATGTCTTGCAATAAATCTGAAGTGACTTACAAGATGCTGAGAAGTGTTGAGGCAATTTCTTTTATCAGTATATTCTGATATTCTGCACTGCAAGTTAGGGATGATAATGAATTTGTCTTCTGTTTTTTCAAGATTATGTACATTTTTACTGGTCCTCTTCCAGAAGACAACAGAATTTTCTCCTGCCTAGCAGTCCTCTCAGTTAAAATACTTTCTAAGTCATAGTGTTTTGTGATGTGTTTGGTCTTTGTGGATAAAATCTTAAATTAAGTTTACTTTTTATTTTTTTTATTGGCAGATATGTAGTATACATGTATTCCATCAAGAATTTAATAATGTATTACGTATTGTTATTGGGATGTATGCATAATGACAAATTTGCTATCTGCTTTGCAGTGATCAGCCGATGTATGTGTTCTGGCATTTATAGTAATTTCTTCATACTGAATGGTATTTATGTTCAAATGCACAATTTTCTTTAGGCTTCTGAAAAAAAAACCCTCAGAGTAATGCTGCTACTTGCAGTAAGCTGCTTCTTGCTTGATGACTAGATGGGACTGGTTTTGCTGGGCCTTTTGAGGTAGTGGGAAGAGAGAGCAAGTCTTGAAAATGGAGAGACAGGACTATTTCACGTGGCCTTTTCCTTTGTCCAAACGCTTCTCATGGTTTGTGAGAAAACCACAATGTTGCTGTCAGTGGTTTGTTTTAGTTTTCAATTATTTTGTTGCTGTGCTACCCAAGGTGAAGAATGCGTGTCTTTGTAACTCAAACTTTTGTGTTGACATCCTTCAGTTACCACACCTCTCCAAAGGCATATCACATTAGATCCCTTTCAGAGGAAGGACTATAGATTGTCTTGCTCTCCCCTTTGGGAGTAAGTACTGAAGTGGCTTTGGCCCACAGTTTTCTAACAAGAGAAACTACAATTCCTTGGGAGCTTTATTGTGAATTGTTCATATGGATGACAGTATCACCTTTCTGCCACTCTAGATCAAACTCCTAACCTTATACACTTCCCTTAGTCTCCTGCATTCCTATTGTCCTTTCATTTACATCTGTTTCCTCAACTTCAAGCTTCCCATTTCCCAGGCTTTTCTTGCCCCTACATTTGTAATGCACAAGCTACAGTGCTTGCTTGGTTATGTCCGGAGAATGTGCGTGTATCTATTGTTTGCTTCTGAGCTGTATCAATCCTTGGTCTAGCTAGTGGCTACAGCACCAGAAAAAGATTTGGAAGCAAGTTTCTATCTTCTATTTTAATAGCTACACAAAAGACAGCACGGTTTTGTGGTGGGGTTTTTTTGTTTGTTTTGGTTTGGTTTTGTTGTGGTTTCTTTGTTCTTTTTGTAACCTGTTGGTGAGGAGAACTTTTAGATCTTCTGACAGAAACATAGGAACAGCAAGTAGACTTTTTTTTTTCCTGGTAGATCTACTTCTATTGTCCCGAGGGAAAGGGAGGAATGGGTAGCTGACAATTTGTCACCTAGGCTATTTCCTTATTGCATTTTTCTTCATGTTGCATATACAATCTGTTTTGTAATCATGATTTTTTCTTGTCTTTCTGTGCTTATTAAATCCTTTGCAAAAGTCTCTTTAGCATGAGCAAAGAATATATCAGTCAGATGGCATTTCGGATAAAGCTTGTTACCTTAAACAGTACATTTTGCTTAAGATTATACATGTTGTTTTATGATTTTTTTATTTATTTATTTTAGGCAATTGTACTTTTAACTGAACTCATCAGAGAGAACTTCAGAAATAGCAAATTGAAACAATGCCTTCTACCAGCACTTGGGGAGCTTCTTTACCTTATAGCTAGGGAGGTAAGACTGTAAAGAGATCCTTACAAATTTAACAAATGTGAAAAAAATTTCCTATAGAAAAACAGACAAAAAAGCAAATTACTTTGTCAGTTGTGTCCTCAACAGTTTTTTGTCCTTGTATGTTCTGTGATACTTTTTCTACTTTAAGAAACGTGTTAGTCCAATCATGTACTTAATCTGAGATTAATTAAATTGCTTTCTTCAAGTATAGAGTTTTAACTTCATAAAACAATTTAATCAATCACTGTAACAACTGCTGGCCTTCAAATGGCAGATCTAAGGGTTAGAACATTTTAGCTAGAGACTTTGAATAGGATGTATCAGTACAGCCTATGATATCAATAAATTAATATATCTAGTCCATGTTAGATCTCATCCTAGCAGGCTTGGGTTCACAATGCTGTGGAAAAGGAAATAGAATGATCCTGACTAATTTGAAATGCAATTACAGTGATTCCTGACTAGAAGTGATTTAAACCTTCAGTCCTGAAATAGTAGATTCACATTAAAAATGAACAGAGGTTATTTGTAGGGAAGAAATACTGTCAATAATAGGAATTGAAAACGACAGCTACTCTAAACCCTCAACTTTCTCTTTACTTATTCAGAGAGTAACATACTTTCTTTTACTTATTAGAAACAAAGGTGACTTCAAACAGAAAAAGCGTAGCCCTAGCTTCTTTGAAGCCTTTGTATTAACTGCATCATCTAATTGCTCTGAATGATATCATGTTAGTTAATAGTCAGTTGAATCACTTGATAAATAAATGAAGTTGCTAAATGGATCTGTATTTTGGCTTACTGTAGTTATGGCTTTGTGCTGAACTTCCATGTTTTATTGTCCGCATGCTCTAGCTTCTTTGCCTGTTCCACAAGATGTAGTGGTTGCCTTGTTTTTTGTAGGTTAGCAAGCATGGTCCTTTCTTGGTTAGACAACTGCCAAAATAATTGTCAAACACAAAGAGTCACATAACCTGTTCTTACACTGAGAAATTATGCTATGGAAAATACATCCACAGTCAAAGTTTATTTTTATACGTTTCAATAGTTTCTCAGATTTCCTTGGGGGCGGGGAGGGGAATTGTACTTGGCATCATCAGACAGATTGCAAAGTATATATTTTTAACCACTAATAAAAAGAAATAAACTTAAAATTCCAACTTAAAAGTTATAATTGGCAAGAGTATTTTGCACTTGATTTTATTTTGAAGTTAAGCTTTAGTGATTGAAATAGATCTGTTTACACTGTATAACAGCAAAATGATTTGCATCCACTGACCCTAATAGTTTTTTTTCCTTCTGAAAATGTGAACTGACAAATTTTTGAGTGTGTATGTATTTATGAACTTCACAATGTTTGAAGCATGATAACTTGTATTTAATGGCAACTTTGTCACGTTTCAGGAAGATCTATAGTAATGGGTTGCAGAGCTTAGAGTTGTAACTAAAAAATTGTTAGAGAATAGAAAGAAATATTTGGAACTACTCTACACATGAACTCAAGGCACTTGTGCCTTGGTAAAACTTCAAAAATATCAGTGTGATTTGTATGCTTAGAGACACTAACTTTTAAAGTTTTTTTAAATAAAAGCTGTTTATAAAGCTTTTAATTTCTCTATTCTGTACCTACTTAACCTCAGAATACTGTACTGTACGTGGAGGCATTTTGCTGCTCATTAAACTGCAGAACAGTAGTTTTGAATGACCTTGCCAAGATCACATGCCAAGTCAGTGGTAGTATAAGATGAAACAAAAAACTTTATTCCCAGTTTATATCTTTAAACAGCAAAGCTTTATACCTTGACTAATTTAAGGAAAATAATTATAACTGCATCTAATTCATTAAGAACTGCTCACAAAATATTTTTGGTTTTCTCTTTTTCCTTGTTTTCTTCCTTTTTGCTGTTCAGCTTACTTGATTGTTTGATCAAGCTGATAAATATTTATCATTTAAACTGTAAGTTGTTGGGGGCATGGCTGATTTTTATTTTTTTATTCCCTCTGAGGTTTTCCTAAGAGTTTCTAGGTCCAACCACAGTATTAATACTAAATAATGGTAAAGATTATTTCTTTTTCATATGACCATAAATTATTTCATAAATTATCAAACACTTAAAATCAAGTTCAGCTATCTAGGAGCAGCATGATTCATTAGGTTAAGTATAGGATCACTGGTTGCAGTTCTGTGGCTTAGAAAATACTGGGGTAAAGTCCGGATAATCGTAATGGTCCTCTGCAGTCCTAAGCTCAGATATTATGTGTGTACTTGCATATGAGATCTTATAAGATCTTGTGCTTCATCTCTGCATTTTTCTTCCAAACAGAAGCCAAGAGCAGTTCACAAGTAGCATGGGCAGACCCCAGGGAGCATGTTCTGTTACTCTTGAGTGAATTACCTTGAGGGAAAACTTTCAAGTTTTACTTTCAAGTAATATTTGTATTAATTTTGTGCTGTTTTTGTTGTTAGAGTGCAGAACCTAAAGTTTAATGAAAGTCAACATGGGCTGTGAGCAAAAAGTAGAAAGATTCCCCAGTGTTTGGTGATAAATTTAAATTAGATGCCAAAATGTGTACGTGTGCTTAGGTAATTAAGAATGGTGCTAAGTTTCATACACCTTTTGCCTTTTTTAATTTCTAACTAGAAGCTAAACTTTACAGAAAGTCATTAATCAGTCTGAAGAATGGGAGAACTATTAATGTTTCAGGACTGCACCATTTCTTAAGGCTTTTGATTTTATAGTACATTTAATATGTATGGTTACAGAAAAACTTGACAGACGTTCTAATTAAATTAGATGAATAAAATGAGAAGTAGACCCATGTCAGTTCCAGCATAGGCTGTCATTTTAACTTTGTCTTGACTCCTAGTCTTGTCCTGCCTTTTTCAGGTGGAGCGGATTCCTCTTTTGACTGTTAGAAAGCAACCTACCATCCTTCTTTGAAACTTGGGCTGAATTTCTTAAACTTATACACTAAGCCTTGGAAGACAAACTGTGATTAAATGTCGAATGTTGTTACTCAGATCAGATGAGTGAGGTGGAGTGTAGTAGATCTGATGTCTCTGTCAGATGTCAAGCCACTGTTGTTATTATTGTCTTTAAATTACTTCCAAGGAAAATTGTTCCATACCTCCCAATACAAAGTTAGCAGAAATAAAGCTTAAAAAAATGGGAGATTTAACAAACTCCTTTTCTTTATTGACATATGTTGCAAATAAAGTTTTGATTTCTTTTCAGTAAAGAAGGAAAACAAATTTTACTGGGCAATTCAGTAATAGTCTTCACTGCTAATCTGCCATGCTTTAATTAAAATACCTGATATTATAAGATGAAATATGTTGAATTAGTGTAGACTGTTTGGAAATCAGGAAATTTAGAAAGTATAATTTGTTTCTGCGTTGTAAACCCGCACCTTGCCCATCCTATGCTTTTTATTATAAACGGTTAATTAGAATGCTAAAAAATAATTTGCTAATATAATAAGTAGAGTTCAAGAAATGTATAATTTCTGAAGAAATTGGTGCTTGTCATCCTTTGTCTACTTATTAAGACAAGCTACACATTGATTTCATGGCCTATCGTCTTCACTCAATGCCTATAATTACTCTCTTTCCTAAAAGATACTATTTTTTTTTTTCAGTTACTAATATCTCTGTGTTACTATTCTAGATATGGAGGTTGTTTTAGTTAAATCATAATGATATCCAAATGTCCTCTTTTAAACTTGAAGTTTTACAGTAGACTACTGCAGGGTGGGGTGGAGAAGTGGAGTTCAATAACTTAATCAAACCCCTGATTCAGCTAGTGGCGAATTAGTCTTTCTAACAGAGTGATTTCAAGGAAATATATGTAAAGATCTCAGAACAGTGTTGATATGTACTGAAGGCTATACCATACAGTAAGTTTTATTAAATAGTTTATATCACCTTGTATGACTTTTACATTGGAAAAAAAATATTCAATTTACATATTTTTTTTAGTTGATAGAGAAAAGTGATTTTGTTTGTCTGATATAATTAAATAACATTTAAAGAGAAGCATTACTACTCAGTTGTCTCTTTCTGAAGTTATCAAAATGATTGGGAGGAATGCAAGAATATTTATGTGTCTGGGTGAATTGGAAGGAATTGATGAAACCCAGAAATATTAGGACAAATTCTGTTACGGATTTTGGAGAATATTTAAATAAGCTAATAGAATATTAATTTCTGTGCTGCACATGAAATAACATTAAATAGTAATATTGCCCTGGAATTTAATGTATTTCTAGCATATGCTAATTTGAAATGTGTATAATATGAACCTTATTAAGAATCTGTTACCCATTTTTTAGTTGTCTGACATTGTGATTATTTTTTTTTTTTAATTTAATAAGTTGTGCTGTTGGCTTCATTTCAGGAGGAAAAAAGGGAGCACCCCAGAGAACGCTGGGTTGTTCCCTCAGCTGCTTACATTGTGCTAACGAGGTGTCTTCGGGAAGGGGTAAGGCTTTTTCATTGTCCTCAATAGAATTTCTCCACTGTAATAACCCTTTAGGCATTGTGTGAGGATTGTAGCCTGCAGCACTGCAGTGCCTTGTCAACCAAGTATTGCTCTTGAATTTAAATAATCATGAGAAGACCAGACCTAAGCAGGAGATTAACGCAAAAACGTGGTGTTGTTCTCTGTACATTCAACACTTATGTATTGCTACTTGATTTTTTGGAAATGGGATAGTAAATATAAATTACTGTTAATAAATGTGGAATTTATTAATGCTGAGGTTTTCTTTTGATAAATGTTCTGACATTTTGTATTGTCCCCTAGCAATTTGATTTTTGTACATCTTTTGTAAATCTTTGAGCAAGATTTGCTTTCTATTTTGAAGTGGCTGATACAGTTTTTGAAAACTGCATTGTTATCCTGCTGCGTTGTTAGTGTTGTTTTGAGGACAAAAAGTAGTAATTGGTTTTATTCTCATACATGTGCTGTGCTGCATTCTTCATTTTTCTTGGTGGTGACTTAGCAGTGTTAGAAGAAGGGAAGAAACCCATGCATATAGTTCCAATTTGTAAAACGAAAAAGAATTGAGTAGAGGGTTTATGTTTACTGTTTGTATGAGACCACTTGACTTTATTTTTGCCCAAGGCAAAGCTCAAGGCAGAAAACATGTCAGAGGTCACTCAAGTGGAGAAATGCCTCTTTTCTTCTTTTTTTTTTTTGAGATCTTTATTGCCTGCGGATTGTGATTAATAGAGGAAGAGTCTAGATGCATTTTAACATTTCCAAACCTTCATGTGATCAAGCACACACAACTGTGTGTGTATTGTGGTCTACTTCCAGCTCATAATTAGAGTAAGATGTCATTCTAAGGCACACTATTGAGAAGCTATTTAATTATAAATTTAGTAAAGGGAGACTTGCTATTTCTGAATATTAAGTATAGAGAAACTAAATCGAGACATCCATAAGACACTAATTTATTCCCATAGAATAAAATAATTTCTTAGTCCTGAAACATCAAATTTTTCTTAATAATTTATCCTGATATATTTTTATTGAAAAAATAACACAAAATAGAAATAAATTTCACATGCAATAGCTTGAATTAAATTTAATTAAGCATAAATTTAAAGTTATATCTAGACTAACCAAGCGAAGATGTGCATTTGTACAGTTTCTGTTTGTGCAGATGCTCAAGGCTTGTAATGGAGTTTTAAGTATTCAAGCTTGTTTGTGTGGGTGCAGTGCAAATATACTAATACAGATTGCTCTATCTCAGCTGTAGCAGCCTCAACTTTCCAGAACAGCACCATCTGAAGAATCAAAAATAGCCATATATGTGTAAAGTACTTCACAACATATTGAAATGGAGAGAGAAACTTACCACCCAATATTATTAACCTTTACTGTTTCTTTTGCTACTTTTTTGCTCCACTCTTGTAGCAATTCTCCTCTTATCCTCCGTAACTTTACTAGCCACCTATCTGTCTTGGAAAATGATGTTGCAGCATCTAAAACTAGATGATTAGACTCATATTATTGTTAGACATCTGTTTTCAAGAGGTTTTGTTTTTTTTTTTTAAGGAAAGACTAATTGGATATAAAATAAAGTTTTTGTGACAGATGTTTTGGATGCAGGGATGGAAGAGGAATGAACAAACATGGGAAAACAGAAAAATTTTAAAGTATTCAATTAAATTCATGGTGTCACTTTTGTATATTTGTTTCAAAACTTGTAGGAGTAATACTACTTCAGTAGATGCATCCAGGATGATAGTATATCTCTCTTCAGTCTGTCACATTATTTAGTGAAAAAGTAGATCTCTCAATCTTTAGTAGCAAAAGTTACACAAAAAAATTTATTAACGAGTTTTTATGGAAACATATGTGTGATGTCATCAAATGGGCTTAAAATATAGCCACATGTCTTGGTGAGATTTTTTTTTTCTTAAGTACGTTTGAAGCTGTTAAACTATAGGATACTTCAGGGTGGAATTGACCTCTGGAGGTCATCTAATCCAACCTCCTGCTCAAAGGAGGTCTAAATAGATCAGATTGCTCGGGGACATGTCTCTAAGAACAGTGGTCCCACAACCTCTCTGGGCAATGCCTGGACCACCCTCATAGGAAGAAAGTTTCTCCTTTCTTGGAGAAAGTTTTCTTCTTTCTCTCTTGGCTTTTCCTCATATGTCATATGCTCGAGACCTCTGACCAACCCGATTCCTTTCTGTGATGGGGACATGACTGGCACTGTGGACAAGGGGAAGGCAGTGGGTGTTATATGCTTTGACTTTAGGAAGGCCTTTGACACACTCTCCCGAACTCTCCTTATTACCAAATTGGTGAGAGATGGACTGATTAAATGGAAGATAAGGTGGACAGGAACATTTTCTCAGGTGATCAGTGTGCAAAGTCCAGCTGGCAGTCAATAACCAGAAGTGTCCCTCAAAGATCGATACTGTATAATGTCTTCTGTAATGATCAGAGTGACCAACTGGGGTGTATTCTGCAGCTGGATAACACCAATTGGTGGGGGCAGCAGCATCAATATGCTGGATGTCAGGGCTGCTAGTCAGAAAGTCTAGGTCAGACTGGAGAAGTGGGCTGACGGGAACCTTGTGAAACTTAACAAAAGTGACAGCAAGGGCTTGCTTCTGGCATGGAATAGCCCTCTGCAACAGTACAATCTCCCTAGGAAGCAGGTCTGCAGAAAGGAACTTGGGGATACCAGTGAAAAGCTGAACATGAGCCAGCAGTGTGCCATAGCAGCAACATGAGCTGTGTTAGCAAGAGAGTAGCCAGCACGTTCAAGCGATTCTTCCCCCTCTACTCAGCAGTAAAATGAGACCACATCTGGAGCACTGTGTTCAGTTTTGAAGTTCCCAGTACAAGAAAGACTTTGACATTCAAGAGGGACTCCAGCAGAATGCTACCAAGATGATAACTGGAAGAAAAATCCCTCATGTTCAGAATTGTTTCTTAATTCATTGCCAGATATGTTAAAGAAAATGTTTAATGTTTTCTAGTTACATTCATATAGTCTTTTTCACAGCGAATAAAGCACAAACTATGATCATGTGTAAAGAAAACTAAGATCAAGTGTCTCCCATCTTTTTGTTTTTAAGGGGAAGCAAATCATAAGGAAAAAAAATAGTTTGGACTTTTGGAGGTTTTGTGGTCCAGCCTCCTGTCAAAACAATGCCTGCTTCTAGTTGCATTCAACGTCAAAGTTATATTAGGTTGCTTAGGGTTTATCTGCTTAAGCTTTAAGTAACTCGAAGGATGATTATTATGTAAACTCTGTGTTCATTTCAGTGTGCGACGACTATCATTGTGAAGAATACTTTTCCTTATATCTAATTAGAATTTCCCTTGCTACAGCTTGTGTTCATTTCCTCATGACCTTTCATTGGTACCTCCAGGAAGAGGCTTGCCCCATCTTCTCCATAATGATCTGTGAGGATTTGGAAAACACCCATCATATCCTTAGCAGTCTTTCCTTTGGGCTGGACAAACTTAGCTCTCTTAGCTTGTCCTTAATTATCATGTGCTCCTGGCCCTCAGTCATCTTGGTGGTCCTCCTGTGGACTAACTGCCATTTGTCAAAGTCTACTTTACAATGGGGATCTAAACTGGGACACAGTAGGTCAGATAGTCTCACATTTCGGGATACAAGTGAAAAAATGCCTTCCTGGGCCAGCTGGCTGAACTGGTAGGTATGCAGCTCAGTATGCCATTAACCTTTGTGGCCAGAAGGGAGCACTGCTGAGTCGTGTTCAACCTGTTCTGTTGAATCTCCAGATCCTTCTCTGCCCCTCTGCTTTGTGGGAGTTATTCCATCCTGGGTCTAAGACTTTGCTTTTGACTTTTATGACTTTCAGGAGGTTTCTCCAGCTTAAAATCCTTCTGTGTGCTGGCCTAACCTTCTGTTGATTCAAGCTTGTGTCATCTGTGAGTATGCTGTGGTTAACTATACTGGGCCCAACATTGACCCGTGATAGCCCCAGCTGCCACAGCTGCTGAACTTTGTACTTCTGATCACAGCCCTTTGAGTCTCATGGTCCAACCAGCTTTCTGTATACTTAGTAGTCCACTTAAGTCCAGGTCTTGGCTGTTTGGTTAGGTATAGGAAACAATCTGGGGAGCCTTGTTAAAGCTAAAGTAAATTAAACCCACTGCTCTCTGTCAGTCCACTGAGCCAGTTGTCTTGTAATTGAAGCTTGTCATGTTGGTTAGGTGGGTTTTTGGTCTTTATAAATCTATTCTAACTGTTACCAGTCTCCTTGCCCTTCATGTACCTGCAAATAGCTTCCAGGAAAGTTTGGTCTGTAATTTTTCCGGAGACAGAGTTAGAGATTCCTCTTCTTGCCCTCCGGAAGGTGGGCATGCCCTTTGCCCTCTGCCCCCAGTCAACAAGGAGCATCTTCTGATCACCACAAACTTTTGAATAGGTGTGCTTCCTTGCAACAATGCTGACTGGCTTCCTCAGCACATTTGGTTGCATCCTTTCAGGTATGCACCTCCAGTTTGCTTGTGTCCCCTACTTCCTTCTTCCTGTCCTGTAGGCACACTTCACTCTCCCAGATTTTGCTTTTTCACACATGGGCATGGAAGGCCTGAGAGCAGTAAAGACTGAGGCAGAGAAGGCACTGACCTCCTGAGCTTTTTTGATGTCCTTTGGCCCCAGCTCATTCAGCAGTGAACTCAATTTTCCTTAGTCTTATTTTTGTTAGTGATGTACCAATAGAAACCCTTGTTGCTTTTTGAACCCCTCCAGTTTTCAAATCAGTGCTCTTTTCTGCTAACCTAGCACACTGGCTCTAATGTGTTGGGTTTGGGTGGGTTTTTTTGTTCGTGTTTTTTCTTATGAGTCAAATTTGCATTGCTGTGGTAGTAGGCACAGAACTGCTCTGTCCATTGTGAGTGGCTCGCAGTGTTTAGTGGCTGCTATGCAGGTGTGGTAGGGGAGCGTATGAATGATACTCCTCCCCCTCATCCTA